AAAAAAAATTGGAATTGATTAGAAAAAATGGAAAAAAAAAATGATTTTTTTCTATAAAAAAAAAAAACCAAAAAAAAACTGAGTATAAAAATTTTAAACCCCCCCCCCCCAAAAAAAAAAAAAAAAAAAAAAAAAAAATAATAATAATAATAATAATAATTAGAATCATCAACTCTGCTTTCTCTCTATCCTTATGCAGGGTACCCTGTTGTGTGTGTGCCACATACCAAAAGAACCGGCTGTCTGCTCCATCCTGAAGCTTCTTCCATGTTTTCCCAAGATCTCTGCTTACAAACAACTGAAATAAAAAAATTGAACACCTTATCCATTGACAACTGTAACTACTATCTGCAATCATTTTTGAAATAATTTTCTCATTAAAATAAATATTATTGCATAATTACTTATGGACAGCCCTGCCAAATTCAAGGTGAGAATCGGATATTCGACAGTACCCATGATAAATGAATATTGTATGTGAATGTAAATAAACAGTACTTTGTAATGGAAACAAAGCTAAAGATATTTTTCATGTGTATATTTCATTTTCTATTCTCACTCTACACGAAGGATTTTGAACCAGGGGCAGAAATATGAATTCAATTTTCAAAACAAATTCACTATAAAATTGCATCCTACCTGTTCCTGGGTGTAGGAGTACCCAAGCAGTACATTCTCCAGTATGGGGTTAAACACAAGACGCTGGGGATTAAACTGTGTGCGGTGTGGACCAGAGAGCGTCTTGCCCTCATCATCCGTGACATACACTGCTCTGTTTTTTCTGTCGGCAAATATCAGCTACAGAGAGGAAACATAACACATGTATTTACAGAACTAAAGTGAACTGTCTTCTACAGGCTGGTGAGGCAAAATTTGCATACCTTGGGAAATTATGCATTATTTCTATCAGTTACACAAGTCTTCCCTATCCATTTTTTTTTTCTAATTTGTCTTAATATGCTATTGATCCATTTCACTTTTGTTCTTTATGGTACGTGTTCTTTAATTTCCAAAATAAAAAATCTTTAGAAGTTGACTGTGTACCTTTGTGTAGTTGTTAGGATCAACAAAAAAGCTGGAAATTACTGAATTTTGGGGGGTGATTTCATCAAAAGTCACTCCATAATTCAGAGATCTGGAAAATAACACAAACATAAATGGAAATAAATGTTTTTTCTTTTTTTTTTTTTTTTTTGGACACATATTGCTGTCATCATAATCTGATACAGACTGAAAAAAATATTTTCTTATCTCCAGATTGCTACAAAGTTTCTATGCATTATGATTCTTTTAAACATATACATGTACCAGTATATTTGAAATTAATTAAATACAGATTTAAATCTTTTTTATGTATACTTTAAGTTACATCTAAGGTTTTTAAACTAATTCAAATTCATATTTTAGTTTGTATTTATTCATCAAATCTTTATCAATTTGGATCAATTACCTGTACATGTATATACCTGTATGTATACAATTACCTGTATAGTGATGAGCTGTTAACTACTCCATCAATAACTTCTCTTGTTAGTAGAAAAATGGCCTACAATAATGAATACCGTACATGCCAATGAAACAATAACATATGTGCACAACAAACTGAGATTATTGTATAGCATAAATGTTACATTTTTAAACTTGAAAGCATAACACCGAGTTAAATGGATTTGTTGTCTTTTTTTTTTTAAGACCGAACAGTACAGCAGTGTACAACACTAAGTAAAATAAAATAAGATGGCACTTCAATCTAAACTTGGTACAAACAATTAAGGACAAGCACATATCTTTAGCAGAGATAAGGCTTTGCGAGGCCTAGTACTGAGTGGGATGTGCACCTTCTCTTAATTCTATTCTACTGCGATGTATTATTGATATGATATTGATATGTTTTGGTAAATGTGTAACTGTTCTCTTGTCCTGATATAACTGCAATTTATTTAAGGTATCAATGTCTCCTTACGTTGCTGTCGCTTCCCGACCAATGGACCACGGCCTGTTTGTGGTTCTTGTTTTTAAATGTATTCACGTGAACTTCGACATGGGAATCGCTCACTCCCATTTTTCCACGATTATTTTTGGATGATTCTCGTCGTATTCGATTTAGTTCTTTCTCAAGCTTTTCTCCATCGCTAAGGGACACAACTCGAGGCTCATAGATGTCATCTCTGAATTTGATTTTGGCAGTCACCGATGAGAAAATTACAACAAAAACAAAAACATTAACAGCAATCCAAAGGTGGCCTTGAAGAGCCATGATTTTCTGCGAACCTACAATTTTACCTGTTGAAGTTCGCTTTGCCAATATTAAAAGGTGTAAGCACTTAAACTCGTGTTTATATATTTTAAAATATTTCAGACATTAAACACAGAGCGATCCAGGACGAATAGACATAAGTGCAAGTTCACGTTAAGGTCACCAGGGTCAAAGGTCATAGAGGTCATTTGAGCCCACGTTGGATGGTGCGTGTAAAAATTCAGTGCAAGGCTTGAACCGGCGGCGGATGTTTTTGTTTTTCTCTGCAGAGAAAGCGTTGCTTCGGCGAAGGAACTGGCGGTAATTTCTGTATTCAAATAGCCACTGAGACGGACAGAAGGTAAACATGTTTTCTGTAATTATTAGTATTTTTTTCAGTGATAAATGAAAGTATATAATCTTCACTTTCACTTGATAAAAACATAAACAATGACCAATGTGAGACCATTAGACGGGGGGGGGGGGAGG